CGTAACACCTAAATCGTTTTGAAAAGAAAGAAAATAAGTTGACTGTTGGTCAACCGTCTAAAGAACCGAATGTAAAGTTGAATTGATTTTTATTAAAAGGATAAACATATGCACGATCTTAATTGTTGAATTATTATGTTTATTCTTGTGCTACAATGGAGTACCACTCAGCGTCAATGCTGAGCGGATAGCGTTGTTTTCTTTTGCTGTCCGTAGGTGATCAGACAGATGAACCTAGAGCCGATCCCAGAGGGCATTGAGGAGGAGATGTACGATGGCGTGGCTGTCTCTTTAATCTGTTGATTATGCTTTATTTAATTAACTTTAATGCTTGCAAGATCCCAAGTTGTTTGACTTTAAAAAGGCTTCCGCGTTATTTTAAATTACTCCGATGGATTTTTATATGTATTGAAAGAACGTTTGTTTAAAATTGTTTTGAAAATGTTGCAAATTCGGATACCAATTCAGTGGCACACCGGTCCGCTGTCTCACGGGTTTGGGTCATGCGGGTTGGGGTGTTTCAAAAAGTGCAATAAATGGCTAGGTAAAAAAAAGTAAAATAAAAGAAAATAAATGAATAAAACATTGTTTGAGCACTCGAGTTGAAACCCTCGGAATACTTCGTTTATTTAGGTCCCGGGCTATCTGGAATGGGCCTGGGGTAGCCTGGTTGAGACTCGCTACATGGGTCAACTCAAACAATGAAAAAATTAAATATTAAATAAAAGCAAAAAATCAAAGTCTCCAGATTTTAGAGAAAATAAATTTTCTTGAGCATTTCTTTACTTGATGGTTCCTTAGGATTTCTAACCATTTTTTTTGCTGCTCTATGTATTTCTTTCAAATTATTCTCAATGGCCTTAATTAATTCAAAGTTTTGACATTGAATAAAAGTAATTTCTACTTAGCTTTGAAGTGAAAGAATTATTTAGAAGTTAAAGTAGCAAATTTATTTTTAAAGTGTTCATTCTATTTGGTATATGATTAATTTCTGATTAATGTTCAAATACATCACTTTATGTTATAAGATAGAGAAGTTATTTTGAGTTCTAGTGTTAAAAAAAAGGAGTTTTGATTTTTGGTATTTACTTTGCCCGAGGATGTACAAAGGACTAAGTGTGGGGGTATTTGATACGTTACAAATTGTCACATTTTATTTGGTCATACTTTAGTTCTTTATTACATTTTTAGTACATTTTATGTTAAAATAAAGTGAATAATGAAATATTTGGCTCTTTAGGCTACTTGTTATATTTTTACACTAAAATCATAAGTTGGGTAAAGTTTTTATTTTATTCCATGTTTAAATTAATTTCTCTTATATGTATTTTCAGACATACTCTTTGAAATAAAAAATAGATGTTAAGTTCAAGGGATGGAGAATTGGGCCGAGCTTTAATGGAATTGAAGATTTAAAGTCCAGCAAGTCAAGATCCAATTGCTATACAAATTCACCCCAACCCAATCCACATTAAAACCTAAAAAAAAAAGAGTAACATGATGGGTATAAAGAGAGAGGAGCCGCATAGGAGGCTGAAAACGGAAGAGAAAAGAAACGAAAGAAAAAGGCAGACCAGCGGCGGTTTTATGCGACGGCGATGCTCTTCGGCGAGTCTTCCGACCTTCAGTGACGGCGGCGACGAATCTGGAGCGGCACTGCAACAGCACGGCCCTTCTTCTTCCTCCAATTACAGTGTTTAATTCTTCCCATCTTCTTTAATTATGTC